AAGATATACCTTAATTAGATTGTTTAAGGTTGCAACCATATACAAACCACACCCTATTACATAAAAGGGAGATATAATCTCTCCTCCTTCCTCCGCCATTCCCCGAAGTTCCGATGATCTCAGTGATTGGTTTAGATACAGAAGAGAAGGAAAGGAGAGATTTAGAGAGAGAAATGAAGAGAACTTTTAGAGAGGGGAACAAAACACGAGAGGTTCTCAATTGGTTAGGGAGAGAGAAAGTTGAGAGAGAGAGGGAAGTCATAATAAAAAAGAAAAAGGAGTGTATATAATGAGATACCCTTTACCTTAAGTATAAGATGGTCACAATTATTTACAACCATGTGATACAATTACTTACAAGTTACAACCGTTTAATGTGAAATTTGATAGTTAGGATGCGTAATAAAGTTAAAAAACATTTCTTTTGAAATTTGAGTTTAGTCATTAGAATAATTGAATATTTTTTATATTCTTGCATTGCATGTCCTATCAACTCGGACGCCTTGGAGGGCGTATTATCATGAAAGTTTGTCTTTGATGGCTTGGACAAAACGATGCTCTGGTTGTTCAAAGTTTGCAATATGAAACTCATTTTTTTAAAAAAAAATTGTGAGGTTTTGTTCTATTTTTTTTAACTTTAAACAAATAGTGGTACTTAGGTCATGTGGTTGGTGGCACGGGTCACATTATCAAAATGCTTGTTCTTATTTTGAATTCTAATCCTAAACAAAGAGCAATTTAATTATTTCTACTACATTTTTATAATGAGATATTCAAATGAAATGAACTTAGAGAGCAATATTTTAACATTAAATGGGATGATTTGACCATCAATCATTTAAATAAAATTTTTATTTATTATACATTATATTTTCCTAAAGATTTCTATTAGTATTTTAAAAATCAATGATCTAGACTAGGAACTGCCGGTCTAGATGAAGATTAGAAGGTGACCTGGTTAATTCTCTCTGAAATTGGGAATAGGCCCTAATTTCACTATTTAGAACAAATTCCCATTTGTTAATGTGTTTTTGCTATTTAAACCATGAAACGAATATATTTCTTACGAATTGAGAAATTTCTAGATTTTTATTTTGTGACTTGATATCCCTCATCTAGATAACAATCGAGTTCGGATCCTCCCATATGATTCGGGCTTTAAAATGCACTACTCAGGTCTTCTGCTATACAAAGAGCAATTTTTTTAAACCATATTAGTGGGGTGGAACGTTCACCTACATGTGTCTGATCGTTGAACTTGCAAAAAAAAATTGTATAAATAAATAAAATAGGTAATGTAAAAAATATATAAATAAAAAAATTAAATAATTATAATCATCATCATTATAACTTTTTTCCAATTAATTGGGGTCAGCAACACGAATCATAGTCCATCATTCTACTCTATTAAAGGTCATACCTCAATAAAGCTATAAGTCCCCATATTTTTTCGGACTACTTCCAACCACTTTTTTTTGGGCCTTCTCCTTGCTCTTTTCAGTCCTTCCACATATATTCAACTTCTAGCAGGTGTTGTACTTGGTCAACGCCACACATGGCCAACCCACCTAAGTCTACACTCGCTCTCATCTTATCATCTATTGGCGCTACATGTAAATTTTTGCTAATATATTCATTTCGAATTCTATCCATTTTTGTCTTGCCACTGATTCATCTCAACATCTTCTTCTCCGCTACACTCATTCTATAGGTATATTGTTTTTTGTCTAGCAAATATTCTGCTTTATAGAGCGAAGCTGGTCTCACAACAGTACTAAAGGACTTGCCCAAGTTGAATTGGTTAGTGTTTGACAATTTAAACTAATTCCTAAGCTCGATTCCTATCAAGGGTAAGAAGAAAAAATAAACTTTTAAAATAGTTCACAACATCAAATGAATAAAATAAATGAAATAAAAACCAAACAAGGTTCGGCTTAGGATTTAATTTCTATCCATATTAAAAATAGCTAGGCAATAAAATAATGAAGGGAGGTTTAGCAAAAAAAGAAAAAAAATAAAGAAAGAAAGCGTGCATAGCAAGGCAAAAAAAAAGGGGAAAAGTTTGAAAAGTTTATAGAAAGCCTAAGCTCTAAACAATCAAATTAGAGCATACTCAAAAAATTTATTATAAGAAGTTGTTTTGATGGTCAAATACACTCAAATTGACAATCTCGACATCAAGATGCATGGACATGAGAAAAAACATAGATTTCAAGTGAAAATAGTGCATCTTGTACCACATTTTAAGATCGTCAATTTTCAAGTGTTCATAGATCTGCTCGCTATATAGTAATTTTTAAGCTTTAAATTTTATAATTAAAGATAAAAATATATTTTAAAGCGGCTACATAGATTTCCAATATTGAAACCAATGGTTTAAAAAACGGATCGGTGACCCGGATCAGGCTCCCAAAAAACCTATCCGGATCGAGAATCGGGTGAATCGGTCAGAATAAAGCTTAAAAAAAATCCGAAAAAATTATTAAAATTCATTATAAATATTGTTTTTTAGGAATTCAATAAGAAATGAGAGTACTCCATTAAGAATTTTCATGTTTTTGAATGAATATGTGAATATTGATATGTTTTTTCCCTGCATGAACCGCCATACAGCATTTAATTTATATCACACAAAAGGATAAACATAGAATTATAATGGAATAAGTATATCAATATACATGGACTACAATAAAGCATAAAATTAGTAACATATGATCTAAAAAAAAAATGATAGACGACGTTATTGTTCTTCTTGGTCACGCTGGTGCCATTGATTGAATTCGTTTAACAATTGATTGATTCGATCTAAAAACGAATCATCGATATTAGCAGGCGTCTAACTATTCCCAAACCCCTGAGTGTTAGTGTTTTGTTGTGTTCTCAATCTAAAATCCCCGAAGATTGTCCATCCTTCATGCTCACCTGCACTGTCGTGCTCATCCCTACACTGTTGCTGTTGGGACTCGATATGTGAATAATATAGCTCGGATAGGGTGGCTTCAGAATCATCATTTCTCATTTTCTCTTTGAATAATATGGAATTAAAAAAAAAAAAATAAATTTTCAAAAAAATCGATCATGGATTAAAAAAAAAAAATCACAAATTTTCAAAAAATTCTATCATGGATTACAAAAAAAATTCGATCATGGATTAAAAAAAAAAATCACAAATTTTCAAAAAATTCAATCATGGATTACAAAAAATTCGATCATCGATTACATAAAATTCGATCATGGATTACATAAAAATTGATTATGGATTACAAAAAAAACAAACAAAAAAAACAAAAAATTCGATAGTGGATTACAAAAAAAGAAAAAAACAATTCGATCATGGATTACAAAAAATTTAATCATGGATTACAAAAAACTCT